AAATTTTTTTCTTGAGTTTTACCCACAAAAAGAGAATGTGATCATACGATAATTCAATATAGTACTGTACTATAAATATGGTGTCCCTACTTCGCGGATTTTCACCTATCGCGGCCAGGTCTGGAACGCATCTACCGCGATAAACGAGGGATCACTGTAGATCATATGTATTAATGAGCAGAGCTGACAACATCCATGCATCCTATACTGAAAGGAGACAGACACATAGTCCAGGTTGACTGTGTTTATACAGGCAATGTGACCTGACTTACTGTAACAACTGTGTTTTCACACAGATTTCACTGCAGCCAGCTAAAATGTTACATTAGCTCCTTTTTAAAAGCTCAGAGAAGCTTCTCATTGCAGGCAAACTCCTCCAAACTGAGCTTTGCACCTTCAAAAACAGGAGAAAATTGACCTTTCAGCTATAAAAAAAAGCACCTCATGCACACTGGCAATGATTGCATGCTTTACACAAGCGCCACAAAGGCTTTCTGAGCACAGTGATACATAAAATAACTGAGAAGGGATGAAATGTGCAAGAACACAAGAGGGCAGTAAAAAGAAGCCCACGGAGGGTGAGCCTGATTGAATGTGGCTGCACGTAAGAGGGAAACTCACTCCAAACAAGCTGGGGTGGTGAGATGAAGAGGGGAGGCTGGCAGCAGTAAATGATGCTCGCCCTCTTACACCTTGTCAGTTATTAGGAGAAGCCAGAGGAGAAAGCTGACATTACTTTGTGCTGTCTACAGAGAAAATAATTGGCTCACAGGCCGCCTCGCTGGCACCCAAAGTACTCAGAGGAGATGATTTAAAGCTCCAGAGCCACACGCAGACAGACATAAATACATACGTGTGGTGTGAGGCGCAGAAGTTTAGACACACTTCCCTTACTCAGGATTTGTACAGAACAGGGACAACAAACTGATGTCTAAATGTTTGTGTCTATAAGATGTTTGTCCTTTAAAGGCCAGATGGGCTATTTTATTACTTACAAAGACGTCCTCTGTCTCTAAAAGTTGGTATCCATCAAATGAAATGACTCAAGTCTGAAAAGCCAAAAGCCATTGAAAAGCAGTGTCGGGCTTCCTGGGAGCGTTTCTTTCATATTTGGTTGAAACGGGAATTTTCAGTTCTTTTTTCAGATATGCTCATAAAAATTGAAAAGACATTTTAAAAATTCAACAAACTGTTTTACAGTGCGTTTATGTCTTAATAAGTTTTCAGCCATTTTTTCCTCCACCCCGACCATACAACAGCTTTATAAGTTTGTTGATCAACATGATGTGAAAACTGAAAAAGTTTTCAATAAACTTTTACGTTTCATGAAAAAAGGAATTTCTTCTCAGGTTATTGCACTGATGCTGCTTGTGTCTCTGGTAACGGCTGCACCTTCTAAGGGAAAAGCACAAAATCTGCAAAGGATGATGATAACTCGGAAGGTGTGAGCTGAACATTACACCATACATCTGTTTGAAATCTGACATTTAGAAAAGTTTTTCATCAAGATTTTCCAAAACACAAACTGACTGACTCAAAGGTGGTCAAGAGGAAGAATCATGATGACATCATCGCTGAGCAGGGTTCCCAAACTTTTGCTTGGGATCCTTTTCATTTGTATTCTTTTAGACCATGAAAGAGTCAACTCTGAACAACATCAAAGCATTAAATGGAACAAAAAATCACCGTTTGCATCTTTTTGTGCTGCCAACCATCCAGTTTCTGCCAGTGTTTGATTTTTGAAATTATGTGCCTCAAACAAGTTGTTTCAAAGAGGTTGTGAGATTAGAAAGATTTTATGTTTGCAAAAAATGCACTTATGAAATTCCCAAAACACATTGTACAGTATAATCAAAACTCTATGTAGATGTCAAAAACCACTGTTGTAGGAGACTATTTTCATGTTCGGCTTTCATGAAAAAGTCAGAGTGACCAGAAATTATAATTTAAAAATGCTTTTTCTGTGAACCACACCTTTAATATAACATAACTGCTGGCTGTTGCTCATTTTACATATAAACCCATTGAAAGTTACTGTTTACATCCGGCTAACTTTGCACATCCACACTAGCTGGGGGGCTAGACCCTCGTCTCCAGCCACTTTCCAAAGCTGTATCTTTGAAATTTAAGCTAACAAAATAAAGCCTAGGGATTTAGATATTACTACTTTAGATTATCTAACACATTTTTGTGCAGAGGAACAAAAAAAGGAAGCATCTCAAAGTTAACAGTGTTTAGCATAAAGCTTCCAGATCCGTTTGAAATGCCTAATGAACTGTGGGGACGACAGTCCTCATCAGAACCAGCCACCTAGACTTTACACAGCTAAAGCAACAAAGGTGTAACTGGGTTTGTTGCATAAATGCTTAATGACAGCTGTGAGTTCATTTTTGGAGTTCAACGAGCAGCGTAAGCAGAGATACAGAAAGAACGACATTAAAGGCTGCCCACTCCAATTACATTTTGTGTAATTATAACATGACTGTTACCGCCAGTGGTGGCGCTAGGGGGCGCTATAGCTACCCCTGGATTAGTCATTGCACCCCCATAGCACCCCAAAGTAAATATTAGATTTTTTTTTACAATTGAATTTTAATTTAACGTGTGGATGTGATAATATTTAACATACAAAACAAAAAAATCAGTATATTATCATATAGATAGTAAAAACTTAAACCAAAACAGGAAATTGATGTTAACCTTTGACCTCATTTTCCACCGAGTGAAAGGTAGAGCTAGTGGTAAAATGGATCGGTTAACAAATAATAAAAATAAACAAATAAATAAATACAAAAATAAAGTAGTATTAATATTAATATTGCATTTATTTATTTATTTATTTATCGTGTCTTGTTAATCTTATAAATCCGGTTGTTTCTGCTGATTAGAATATTTCTAATGGTCTAGTTATAAGGTTTTGGTTTATCTATTGAGTTGTTCTTTTTTTTTGTTGAGTTTTGGTTGTTGTTACAATGTAATGTGATTGATGTTTAAAAAAATATATATATATAATAATAAAATGGATCGGTTTTTGCTGCCCAAATTTCCACAGATTCAGTCAGAAACGAATGAATCTTTGGAGATGATCTCAGGCCCACTAAAACCTACGGATCTGGATGAAGAGAGTCAACCCTCAACCGCCGCAGCAGTCGAGGGTTTTGCCGCTGGAAATGCTAACACTAACGTTAGCTAACCTTGCAACACTATAGATGGTTTTCTGTGTGGCTGTATGTGTTTATGATTTCATGGAAAAGTCAGTGATTGTCCATATGTTTGTGATGTGTATTAATGATTGTTTCAGGTGTTGTTGAGGTTTTGTGCACGCATGTGTATCTGCTAGTGTTGAAGGTGTTTTAGAGAACAAGAGGTACGCACGACCACTTCCTTCATAGCACCCTCAATAAAAAGTCTAGGTCCTTCATAGCACCTGCAGAAAAACATTTCTGGAGCCGCCACTGGTTACCGCAGGTCACACTGGGGTTGTCATTTTCACATACGTTTATGTATCAGGACTGATCAGCAGCACTGCTTCTCCTTGCTGCTGCCTCCACTTGGCCGGTGCATTTCTCCCGGCTACTCGTGCCCCGCAGCTGCGCATAATTATATTTTAAAAAGCACATAAATCATTCGATGGCTATAACTTGCTTGTGTCTGGCCTCGTGGGGCAGATATTTTACTTTTAAAGGAAACTTTGTCTGCCACGATGTTGGTGTTTTACCCACCTTAAGTACATCTGCATGGCTGTTTGGTGTATTTTATCAGTTGTACACCTGTAAAATATTATTTGCTGTCCTTCTTTCGTCTATTTGTGCAGCCTACAGCTCTATGTGTGTTAACCATGCTGATGGATTTTATTTCACCACTTTTTAGCTCGTTTTGTTGACAACTAACAGATAAACACAACAGTGGTCAACGGGTAGGTGCCTGCCGGGGGGCAGGCGTGTGACGTCACATTTCAAGGGGTCTATAAAGCATTGAAAATAATAAATTAGCTAATTATTCCTTTCATCTTTTTATGTCCAAGCAATATTTATTCTTTAGACTAAGCTCTGTTTTGTTCCCTTGTTTTTGTTTTCATTAAGAGAACAAAGAATGATGGTCAATCTGCATCAGGGACAAAAGCACAGCTGTGTTAATGATGGCTGCATTCCACTTCTAAATTTGCCAGTTTGTAGTTTGAAACCAGCTGAACTTCCTCTTAAGGGAATGGAATGACTTTCTTTTGACCTGTACAGGTGTGTGAAACCTCAGCTTCAACCAATAGCACAGGAATGTGTCCTTGTGAAGATAAAACAGTAACTTGTAACAAAACATAACAAAAAAAACAACAAAAAATATCTTTAAGTTTATTTATTTAGCAGACGCTTTTATCCAAAGCGACTTACAATTTCTAACCTATAGGGCATGTTGTGATCTGTGGGGGAAACCGGAGTACCCAGAGGAAACCCACGCATGCATGAGGAGAACACCACGCAGAAAGGCCGCAGCCGAGTTTCGAACCTGCAACCTTCGTGCTGCGAGGCAACAGTGCTAACCACTGCACCACCATGCAGCCCCTGGATAGTAATATGTAGTATATGCAGCAATGTAAACAAAAGACTGTAACACACAGTTTGTGATCAGTTTCATGATTTATGACGAGATAATCATTAATCAGGCTGTAGATAACTCTCAAAACTGGTGTTGCTAAGAAAGTTGATCAACATTTATTATCTCAAATAACAAAAGTTTGTGCAGCTGAGTTCGCTGAAGCTATTTGACAACATTTATAGATAAATCAGCCCCCCACCCCTGGATAACTAGGATTCACCTTGGAGAAAAGCAACAATAAACCAGTTTCCTGGCACCAGTTTTCTCTTTAGTTTACAAAATGCAGCCTGCTGTGATGCACGCCTTACTTTAGCAATTTGGGCTTCCTTATGCAAATATGTTTCCAAATTATGTGTAAAAAACTGAAATCTGTAAACTGGTGCATCGCAGCTGTTTAATGCAATCAAGACTTGAATAGTTAAAATTTTATTTTTTTTGCAAATTAAAAAGAGCAGAACATGTAAATGCATGTGCTTTAATGCTCTGCAGCTAGACAGCCGAAGGTTTGCATTCCTGGAACGTTCCGTCGCCATGCAGATCATTTTCACGAGCGTCAGTGAGTCATGAAGGACACTTAAGTCTGAGATGTGATCAAAATACAGAAGGGGGGGGGGGCACTCGGCACTTGGAGTTTGTTCTATAAAGTGATGAAGCATTGTCCGTTTGTTCGCCCTTTGCTCGACAAAGCCGTCGTTGCTTCACGTTGTGCTCGTGTCATAACGAAGCTGTACATCCTGTCTCGAGAGATAAACAACTTCCTCCAAAGAAATATCAAAGAAACAGGCAGGGATCAAGAATATTTGCTGAAAATATCAAAATTAGCAAACAAAAAATTGCATTTCTTATCATTTTTAAGGGAAAAAAATGGTGGAAACAAACTTGGATACAATTCAAATCATCCATCACATCAAATCAGTGACATTTAGATAAATAAAGAGTAGGTAGAGTAGAATGAGGGGTAATAAAAATCACCTTGGTCAGGCTTTGAGGAGCTGCAGGCATCCAGTTACATAACAAGTTAGCTGAATGTACAGTGCCATCATGTGCATAACTGTCCTCATTACATTTGTTCTGTTTCACACAGCGAGGCTTGCAGAAGACCAGGGTTTGTACGGGTTAGGGTTGGGGTAGCACGTGCAGAAGGTCAAACTAGAACAGTTATTGTGCTGAAAATCGTTTTCTGTTCATTTATGTCTTTAATTTGTCAGAATGATGAGAATAAACACTAAGCACCATCATTTAGGGACAGTTTAGGATTTAGTTGAAGACATAAAATGTAAAATTAGCAACAGTTTTAAATTAATTTACAACATTTTTCTTTTATTTTTCAAACTGTACAAATTCCCAAAAAACACAAGCGACTTCTTAAGGCTGAGGATAGCGGAAGATGACGAAGATGAGCTGAACTGGATAAGTGTTTGTGAGGAGGGGGTTGTTTACTCTTCCAGCTGGTTAATCCTGATCGCTGCCTCGTGTTCGAGTCCTTTAGGCTAAAAGCTGAACCCACCTCCCGTCTCCTGCGACGCGCTTATCGACTGTTTGATTTCCTCACTTGGAAAATGGTTTTGGATAAAAGCCTCTGCCTCATGACGTAACGGGATGCAATGTTTGTTGTGTCTAAGACGTATTTAGGGAAGTTTGAGGAAGGTCTGTGAGTGTGCTTGCATCAGTGGTGACATGAAAGGCACAGATGTGGGTGCAGGAAGAACCGTGCTGCTGTCCTCCTACTTTTGCTGGCATCACATGTTGTCTGAACTTTTTAGAAAACTGCTTCTTTTTCTTTATTTGGCTAAAAACTCACAGTTTCTGTCTTTCAGAGGACTCCAGGCACGGTGAGCAACAGAAGCACCAGTGAGTGGACAGTCAGAGCTGGGCTGCTGTTCCTGGTGCTGCCAGGAAGTGACTGATTGTGCCTCCTCACGCTTCTAGTGCGAAGAGTGGTTGTCCTCTTGGTCTGGGTGGAGGAGCTCTCTGTGGTGAAGAATCGATTGGTGGCCAGCGTTGCGCCGTCACCCTCAGATGTGTCAGTAATGAGACTTTTGTCAGAGAAATAGGATGAGTCAGAGGGTGAGGCTTCCTCTGCTCCTGGGATGAGATGGTCAATGGCATGTGGGCTGCCGGTCACAGCCGGGTGATTAATTGTTCGGTGGAGGCCTTTAGTGAAGGCGGAGCTGCTGCTGGGTGTGACTGTGAAGACGGACTGCTCTGAATTTAGGGTCTTTTGAGGTGGTGGAGGCGTGCTGAGGAGAGCTGAAGCAGACAAGTACCACCATGGAGTGACATCGGATTCAGGGGACAGGGGGCTGAGAACCGGGTCACTGGCAGCCAGAGGCGGGTCGCTGTAGGAAGCATAGTGCCATCCTCTGGTTCTGTTGGGATGGACTCCTCCGCAGACCGGCTGGGTGTGGCAGGGGCAGCCGAGGACACGGGCGGGGGTGCGCTGAGTCCAGGCGAGCAAGTAGTCTATGTCAGCGGAAAGGTGACAGGCCCAAGGGTTGTTCCCTAAAGTGAGAATCCGGAGTGATCGCATCCTGTCCAAGACTCCAAACGGCAGTGAGGAGAAACGGTTGGCGTGTAGGTAAAAGTGGGTCACCTTAGGGAGTCGGTCCAGAGAACCCGGCAGCACTTTCACCAGCAGGTTGTGGGACATGTCAATGGTCTCCAAGTGAGAGGGCAAGTTGGTGGGCAACGTCCAGAAGTGGTTGTTGCTCAGGTTCAGTTTGCACAGGTTGATCAGGGTGTTATTGATGAAGATGGCCCTCTGCAGCTTGTTGTTGGAGAGGTCAAGCGTCTTCAGGTTCCACTGGAAGGCCGTGTCATTCTTGTCCAGCAGCAGGATGCGGTTGGAGGCGGCGGAGAGCTGCCACAGAGAGCGCGGCAAGTCTCCGGGCAGCCGGCTCAGCCGGTTGTGGGACAGATCCAGCCGGCGGAGGTGGGTGTACTCCATTAACTTTCCGTCCAGGTTGTGAAATTGGTTGTGGGAGAGGACGAGGGCGCGGATGTTGTGCTGCAGCCCATCAGGCAGCTGCCTCAAACCCCTCCAGGAGCAGTCCACCTCTCTGTGGCTGTGGGTGCAGGAGCACATGGAGGGACACACGGCCAGCACGTGCAGCCCCAGCATTAACACCAGAGCAACTTCCAGAAGGGCCTCATTTAGGGAAAGCTTCAGCGGTGCAGGCCTACTGAAAACAACAGAAATCCCAAATTTAGCACCACATTTTCATGTAAAAGGACATTTGTGCATAAAAACAAACATTTTAAAAACAGTTGTTGATGTGATAAACAAACATCAGGCTCCTGAGTATAAGATCCTATGAAAACAACCATCCATCCTGTTGAAGGGAAGACAGAGCCCTGCAGTGATTTTTCTGGCATCAGTTTGTGTTCAGTCATCGGTGGAGTCGGTCCCAGGCTCTCAGAGGAGGAAAACTGGCCCAATAGAAGGGCTTTATTAACGACTCCACAGAGAACCCACGCATCAGCTGGTCCAAAGGCGGCAGCTCTGCGCTGCTGAAGCTGCAGTGTTCTGTGAGCCGGGGTGTGGCGCAAAATGTGTGTAAATATAAAAAGTGTCCATAACTCACCTTCTCATCTTATCATTCCAGTCACTTTTCTCCGCTCCTTCTCCGCCGGACAGCAACTCTTCTGCCTCCTCTTCAAGCTCGGGGCCAGCTGAGGCTCTGCTGCAGGTGATTACGACCCCCCACCCCCACCTCCCTCCCTCCTCTCCCACTTAGAGATTTTGACCCCTTGCTCACTTGTCCGGTGCAAGCGCTCTGCCCCACCCAATGATGATGGAGTCTTCTGTGGAAGATGAGAGTTTACTCGTGCATCTTGTAGATCTTTTTGGGGGGTTGGCGCGATCGGACACTGCAGGCTCTGGATTTACTGTGTGCAGTGCAAGTGGGAGGGGAGGGGGGGAGGAGGGGTGGTGCGTTAGCAAGGAGAGCTATTGGGAAGGAGAAATGGAGCGCATAATGGAGGGGGTTCTCTGCATCCAACAATCCCACAGAGAGGGGGGGGGGGGGGGACTCCGCTGTCAGCTTTCAGGATTTACCTCCACGTTCTGGACTAACAACTGCTGTTTGTGTTTTGCTTTAACCGGCCGCTTGTGTTTGGAATAAGAAAGGCTGCAATCAGTTACCAACTAAATCTATGTCACCCCCCCCCCCCAAAAGGGCCAAATCAATGAAGTGCTGTAATTGGCTGTTATTTTCCCCGTGTAAATTTAGCGGCTGCCACAAAAGAAAGCCTCGAGATTTATTACAGGAGACTCTCCTCCTCTGCAGCATCCCACCTGTCATCAGCAATACGGCCAACGCTCCGTTTTGCACCGCATTGCTGCACTTCTGCTTCACACTCACGCAAGTAATCAGAGCTCCAACTGTCACAGAGGCAGCCTCCATCGCTTTCCTGATTCGTGCAACTGCATCGGAGCAGGTTTAGATTTGTTCCTTTATTCTGATCCATTTTTACTTCCTGGAGGAAATGCAGGCTAAAGCCACTTCCTCCCTCCCTCCAGCTCTCTCTCTATCTCTCTCTCTCTCTCTCCTGCCTGTATAAATGTACACTTCCAGCAGATGGCTGAACCAAGATTGAAACTTGTGTATCCTGTCACCGCTCCTTCCAGCGAGCCTCAAAGTCAGTCCCTCACCTCTGCTGTCAGTCATGATACAACAAGATGTGTTGTCGGTTTGAGTCGTGTTACCAAACAGCATCCAAATCCTCCAGAAAAGTCAGATAGCTGCAGAGGAATATTTCATCTCTGCTTGTGCAAAGCCACTTCCTCTGCAAAAGGAGAGAAGATTTGGTGGAAAAGAAAACATCTGCACAGCCATAAAGAACAAATATCTGCACCAGGCTGCAGAAAAGAGCCTGCTCTTGTGTTCCCAAAAGCTTTTTTTTCTCCTTGGCTGAAGTGAAAGAAAGCCTTCTTTCGAGTTGCTGCCATGAAAATGGTTCGTTTCCCCTGCTTGCTAATCAAGCTGATCTCTCATTTGCTCCAGTTTAGTCTTCAAAACAACATTTAGCTTGTAGTAAATCACTGGTTTCTGTCTCAGAATGAAGAAAACAGTCAGAAGCCGACACATTTTCACATGTTTTAATGTTATAAAAGACAGAAATCAGAGCAATGCTTTAACTAACAGGGTTGTTTGGTTTACAGGAATTAAACAAAAGCTGGTATAAAAAGAAAAGGATTGGAAGGAGGGGGGTTTATTCTGATCTTTGAGGCTGGTTATTTGGTTCCTCCATGACCCCCTCAGAGGAGGAGGAGGCCCCAGCTGCTGCGGCGTCAGGATAAAGGATTTCATCTGGAGGATTTGGGAAGGAGGAACTCTCTGCAGCATCTTCTGTAGAAGCCTTGTCACTTTCAGAAGCACCTCCCTCCTCATTCTCCTCTGTTTTTTGACCATCCTCGTCCACCTTTGATCCATTCTTCATGGTGGCTCCAGTAACAGTGTCTTGATTTGTCTGGTCAGCCAACAGCGAAGCGGTCTCATTTGCTTCTTCCTTGGACTTTATTCTGTCACTTTTGGACTTTTCCACCCAGTACTTGGAGGAGTTGACCAGCTCCACGTCATTGCGGATTAGCATCCTGATGCGTCTGCTCAGCTGACACACTTTACACGCCAGCACTAGTGTGGTCACCAGGAAAAAGATACAGGCTATGATCAGTCCACCACACACAAAATTAGTACATTCCATGTTTAGGAATGACCAAAGCAGGCTGGGCTGTGGTGTGGTCCATACTGGGGTATTCTTGTTAGTGGTGGCTTGTTTGGTTGTTGTAGTTTCATTAGTCGTCATGGTTACGGCAGACATGCTGCTTACAGAACTGGTGGTGGTCACAGGTGAGGTCTCCTGAGCAGCTGACCATAGGATGAACGATAAAACAAACAGAATCTGGCTCCTCATCATGAGATCTGGAAAATGTATTTAACATCGTTAGGATTTAAGAATTATGGAAAGAGAAAAAATCTTTTCTTAAGAAAATCACTTCATCCATCCATCCATCCATCCATCCATCCATCCATTCACCATCCATTCATCCATCCAACATCCATCCATCCATCCATCTATTCTCCATCCATTCATCCATACAACATCCATACAACATCCATCCATCCATCTGATTCACCATCCTTTCATCCATCCATCCAACATCCATCCATTCATCCATCCAGCATCCATCCATTCATCCATCCAACATTCATCCTTCCATCTATTCACCACCCCTTCATCCATCCAACATCCATCCATCCATCCATCAGTTCACCATCCATTCATCCATCAGTTCACCATCCATCCCTTCATCCATCCAACATCCATCCATCCATCTAGTCACCATCCATTAATCTCTCCAACATTCATCCATCTATCCATCCATCATCCATCCTTCCAACATCCAACCATTCTTTCAACATCTATCCATCCAAAATAAACATATCATGTTATTTTTCAGGCATTCTCTCTGATATAATCTTGTAATTTGCATTCAGAGGTTCTTTTGAAAAGAATCTTCATTTTTGAATCTAAAGAATATTATGAAATTGCATTTTAATAAATGCAAGTTGTCTCAATTAATACATTTTTGGGTTTCCATATATAATGTCAGTAAATGTGGGCAGAGAGGGTGTAAAACAGAAACAGAACTGGAATAAATTAACAATATAATTTTGTCTCAAGTCAAAGTAATGATTACTCACAACAATTCTGTATAAATGGAACAAAAAGTATTTTTTAAAATGGGAGTCAAAAGGGTTTGGTCTATTAAACTGAAAGCAGGAGGGGAAAAAGCCTAAATAAAATAAACACAAATATGTGGAAAAGAAGAAAAGATCTATTTAATTTGGGATTTCTTTTCCACTAAAAAAGAAATGGCTGTCTGAGCAACAACTGAGGACAAAATGTCATTTTAACAAAACTAAATAAATGAGTAAAAAAATAAAAAACCTTCTGCTGAGTTTGCTGTGCAAATGTATTTCTTTACATCAGTGGGAAACCAAAGGCTGACCTTTAAACGTGTGATTAAACAAAAGGAACAAATTGAACAAACCTGCAGCCCAGATTACAAAAGGCTCAGTGGTAATGCAACATGATGCACAGAATATGTCACAGTAAACAACAGTCTGATCAAATTGATATTTATTCTGTTTTTACTGATAAAAATGCAAGTTTGGCTTTCAACTTGATGAAAAAGTCTAAAAAAACAACAAGTCAAATATAAAATTTCCCCACTTTTTAGAATTTTGCACTTAAACAGAAAAACTAGTTTATTTTCTTCCTAAATGTGACCAAATGCACCTTTCATTATTACATGTATGTGCATTACTGAGCTGCAGGTTTGTTACCGAAGTAAAAAGGACCACTTACGTTGATGCTGGTTGATGCTCAGCCACAGGGACCAGAGGAAGGTGTGAGCGAACGCTCGACTCACAGCAAACAGTGAGAAATGTCCAGTAATTTAAAGGAAGTGAGACCAAACCTGTCTTTCTGTCTCCGTCTGTCTTCTTCCCTTTGGACTATATTGAGAAGAGGAAGTGGTTGTTGCTGTTTTGTTTGCTACTCTGCTGTGATGCAGGGTGACAGTATAAAGACTCGATTAGATTATTTTACAAGAATTTGAAACTTTTATTGATGCTCAAAATGTTCAAATGCAAACAACAATAACGTTCTCCAAAACCATCCATCATTAGGTCCTATAAAGACTGTGGCAGAGAGTGGGTGAGGGTGCTAATGTGCTCATGTGCACCGTTTTAGTTTTTTTTTAGCCATACACGTAAAATGGTCTCTACGTTTATTATTTTTACTTCCTGTACATGAAAAAGCCACAGCTGGCCACAAACTCTATTTAGCATTTCATGTTTCTCAGCAACATACGACTCAGGTCTTTCTTTATCAAACGTACCGAAGCCACAACAGCAGACACCTAACGAGAGAAGCTGTGTTCATAATCACTTCTCATTTGATAAAACAGTTTCTTTATTTATTGAACATTAGCATCGTTGAAATTAGAGCTTTTTCTAAAATAAAGTTCCTCTTCTTGCTTCCTCTGTTTGCTATGCACCTGCACCTCCATGGGGCAGATTTATGGGGGGGAAACTCTTAAAGGAAAGTGAAAGTTGCAGCAGATGCCAGCAGAGGACATTGTGAAGTGATAGAAAGGGGCTAACAAATCCCCCCCACCCCCCACCCACCTGCGTCCCTTGAGTACGTGTTTTTGCAGGTGGCTGTCTGTCTTCTGATCAGATTCTTGTGCTTCAGACCATTAAATCAGATAAAAGTAAAGATGGAGCTAGAGACATTCAGAAGGAAAAGGGAATGAAGTGCAGAATACAGAAACTGGTGTTAGCCAAGGGCAGGAAGCTAAGGCTAAAACACACACAGAACCAGAACAATGCTCCAGAACTGCACCACGAGAGTCTGAAAACACAACGAGTTTGGATTTCAGCATCAAATTCCTGATGTTTGGTTGAAGTTGGTGTCACCAACACGAACAATAGCCTACCTGAGTGTTGCTATGTCCATCCCTTAATGACCACATGTACCCATCTTCTGATGGCTACTACCACCAGGATAAACCTCAGATCTTCTCTGTCATAAAGATGACTCCAACGACCTCCACAGCAGATCTTCAACCAGTCCAGGAGTTTAGGAATGAGGTGGAATGGGAGATTTTCATCATAGGTTCAACTATGTGCTTTTCCACAATAACAAAGATGATGATATATAATGAAAATAATAAAGAACTTTATTTTTTACTTTGTGTGTTTAGGTTACATGTATTTTTGTGGAACAGTGGTTCCCAAAGTTGGGGTCGGGGCCCCACCATGGGTCACCGAGAACTACACAGGGTGTCTAGAGAGGATTTCCAGAAATAGAAGAAAAATTGAAAAACTGTTGCTGAAGCTCTATTTCTAGCATGATTCTTACAAAAACTAAACTGCCATAAATGGATTTAAGAGAATGTGAGCTGAAGTGGTTTTCTTTACGCACTGAAGCATGTTGGCTTTCTCAAATAAGATATCTGAGGTCTTGAAAATTGCTTTTTGTGGGTCTGAAGTTGGAAAATTTGGGATTCACTGATCCAAACATCCTTCTGGAACTGTTAAAACTGGAACAACCTGCCCCCTGCTGGCTGGTTGCAGAACAAGTCCATTTTAACAGTTGATAACAACACTTTTATAGAGATTTTTCCCACTTTTCCAGACAACACAGGTGACTACACTTGATCAACCAATAGAAACACATCAGGCCATGCTTAGTTATAAATTTGAAATATGCTGATCACAAATCTCAAAAAAAGGCAGAATGAATGCACGAAACAAGAAGTGGGCAGCTGAAAGCTATGACTGTGTGTCCTGGATCTTTTTTTTGGTACCTTTTCAGTTCAAGAAATGACAAAATGCTGAGTGTCTGCTCAGCTTCTGTCATCAGTGAGGACTTTTATAGTGATGACAGAGAGAAGACATGATGGTTAAATATAACAAGAGGAAGCGAGAACAGAAGGAACCCAGATGACTACATCTGTAAAAATAGTAATACACCCTCACCAACTATCCTCTGAGATGTGGAAAGCCCCATTTGTTGGTAATAAGACATAATAATAAGATTTAAGGCGACGGTGGCACAGGAGTTAAGTGCTCGCCCCGTAATCGGAAGGTTGCAGGTTTGAGCCCCGCTCAGTCTGTCGCTGTCCTTGTGTCCTTGGGCAAGACACTAAACCCACGTTGCCTGCTGCTGGTGGTCGGAGGGACCGGTGGCGCCAGTGCTCGGCAGCCTCGCCTCTGACAGTGCGCCCCAGGGCAGCTGTGGCTACAAAGTAGCTCACCCCCACCAGAGTGTGAACGTGTGTGTGAATGGGTGAATGACTGATTGTGTTGTGAAGCACCTTGGGGGGTTCTAGGACTCTAGATGGCACTTTATCAAATACAGGCCAACCGATTTGCGTACAAATATACATATTGTGTGTGTGTGTGTGTGTGTGTGTGTGTGTGTGTGTGTGTGTGTGTGTGTGTGTGTGTGTGTGTGTGTGTGTGTGTGTGTGTGTCCTGCCTGTTTGCTGCTACTTCACATCTATAAATAGCCTCCATGCTGGCTGTGATGGTGGACAGCTTCATTACAGACAATCCCAAGGACATCAGTTGATGGCTGACAGTTGCAACGGTGGGCTCAGCAAATGCCAAAATGGCCCCCAGAGTATCCCCCACCCCCCACCACCTTTTTTTTCTCCTGCCTTGCTCTTTCCATCACCCATGATTCGGAACAACACCGTAGAGACTCTGCTTCAGAACACTTTTTAAACACGTTTCACAACAAACGTATGCTCCCTTATATGGTCACAGGAAATTAAACAAATGACTGATTGTCACCATGTGATGGGTATGGCCAAACTGGGATCATGTGATCTGGTACCAGTCTGAGTCACAGGCCTCTTGGCAGCAGCCGAGGGTACAAAGTGCTCATTTTGCCTTAGCATTAAAACCAGGAATCAATTCATCATTCCCAAAAGTCAGAGGAGGCCTCAGAGCCGGCTTTGTGCTCCGGGAGCGGCAGCTCACAAGGTCTCAGGACAAAAACCTCCAACTGCTGCCTAAGCAGAATAAAACATGCATGTTTGCAGCTCACAGAGCCCTGCACAGGCTTTTATTGATTATAATTGTCCCATCGATTACAACAATCAATATGCAGCAAATTGAATTCATTTATCTGACAATAAATCCCCATGACTCGAAGATTCAGCCCGTTAGCTACCCTTTGAGATGTGCAGATATTAATGCTGATTCTTCTGTGAAAGTGATGAACACGACCGCAAGATTAAAGCTAAAGTTAGTCTAAAATAGATTCCTGCAGATGACGACAGAAGGCATGTGTGAGTGGAGACGTGGTGTGTTTTGGCTGCAGCAGCGACTGTTCTGCATGTGGTGAAAACATTCTGAAGTTAAAAGTCTAACGTTGAGTCAGGGGGATTGCTCTTCCCACAGGGCTTTTGTGCCATCTAGAGGCAAAAGGAGAGGTTGATCCCTCTGCAGGTGTCTTGACCAGATAATAGAGTGGAAAAAATGAAGATTTTTCCCCCCTTGCTTTAGGACCTGATCTTCAACTAATTCAGCTCTTTCAAAAGACCAAGGGTGCTCCAGGAAAGCCCTTGGATCAGAAAAACTCTCATCTTCTCAGACATCTCCTAAACGACAATGAAGATCTTTGAATTTCTTGAAGCAAAAATGAGCTTTTTGTAATTGATCTAATAGATTTCCAGTCAAGTATAGGACTAGCCCTCGCTGCAGCAGGATGCCTTTCTAAATTTCCTTTGTCCTAAAATTCCTCAAGTTCAGATCACTGATTCTTAAGTTGGGGTTGCCATCACACCGACAGACATAACATCACATGAGAGGAACTGTAATGATAGAAAATTTAAGAATTATAAAAGGTTTGCTAATGCGACGTTTTGCCTTAAAGTAACAATAGTTTGTAAATCTTTAAGCTAGAGCTTTAACACTGCTTTGTGATTGTTGAGTTAGAAACTTGACTAGTTTCATTTCTGACATCCCTCTGCAGGCCAGATATTGCATTTGATAGTTTCGTGGAGCGGGTAGGTGTCCTAGGTAGGGATGTCCCGATACAACTTTTCCCCCTCCAATACAATACCAACATTGCAGCCTTCAGTATTAACTGATACCGATATCAATCGGACATATCAGCACAAATCACACATGCCGTTATCTATATGTCTTATATAGGTAATGAAATTAGCCTAATGTACATGTTAATCTAAAGTGGAAAGCTAATTTAATCTTGTTTTGTTTTTTATTAAGATATTTCTTGTTCTTCCCATTGGTGTTAAGCCTTATGTATATGAACTACATGAAAAAGCATTTTGCTTTCTTAAAAAGGGTTGGCGTAATAAGCATGCGCTTCACCCATTACCTTTTGATTGGCCTTGTTTGTGTGTTACTCTGTCTGCGACAGCCTTTAATTCAGTCGCATTGTGATATTTTAATGCTAATCAATCAAAAAATAATACTTTTACCTATTTCATGGTGTGGAATGTATGAAAGGCTTGATCAAGGGATGTTACTCGGAAAACAAGCAAAAAGGTTGCAAAAAATGTGGACCTTAACAGACTGCTTATACCGGAGATTTTTGATCAATCAATCAATCAATCAATCAATCAAATTTATTTATAAAGCGCTTTTCAAACAAAGTGCAATTCAAAGTGCTTTACAAAATGACCCCAGAGTCCCGTAACAGGTTAAAAACAATAACAGACATATGCACGCACACACACACACAGGCTCTTTCACACACACACAAAAATTATATTTGGCTGAGCCCAGATGAGCCAAGTATGGTAACACAAGGAAACGCCATCAGAGGAGCCGTCTGTCCCAGGAGCATCAGGTCTTCCACACTAAGTCAGGGCGCCTAGTGGCGGGGCAGCATAGACCCCCACCTATAGAGCGCCCAGGAAGCTACAGTCGACCACCGCTCCCGGGGCAGAGGGCCCCTACAGAGGAAACACTGGATTAAAATGAGTAAAAATATAATAAAAGAGCTAATATAAATGACAAAAGTCAGAAAATAATAAATAAAATCATATAGACAGTAAAATAATAATATTAAATAACAAAACAGTGCTAAAATATAATCATATAAAAATGCAAAGCAAGTAATAAAATATAATCATGTAAAACGAGAAATAAAACTGTAGAAAATATTTAGATGAAAGCTAACCTAAAAAGATGGGTCTTGAGTCTTGACTTAAAAACATTAACGTTCTCTGCGGCCCTGAGGTCCTCTGGCAGCTCGTTCCAGAGGCGAGGGCCATAACACTGGAAGGACGCCTCGCCGTGAGTTTGTCCTGACTTTAGGGATGACCAGGAGACGCCTGCCAGAGGAGCGCAGAGGCCGTGAGGGTTCATATTGTAAAAGCAGTTCTGATAGATAAGAAGGCCCAAGACCGTTAAGACACTTAAAAACCATTAGAAGAACCTTAAAATTGATCCTGAAACATACAGGGAGCCAATGCAATGATTCTAAAACTGGTGTCATGTGCGTGGTGTGATGCCGTCCGATATAATCCGATACACCGTTTTTGGGCCGATATCGATATCAGAACAGGACATCCTTAGTCCTGGGGGGTGCTCTTTACTTTATGACTGTTATACTAGTGGTTAGCATTTGCAGTTCACTGATCATCAATAAAAAACATAAGAAGAAGCTTGCTTTTCTGTTGGCATCATGGTGGAGCTTGGAAGTAAAAGGGAGTAATGTCGTATGAGGCAAAGCAAAGAGCTAAAGCCAGAGTGAACATCAACTCGGCCTACACTAGTTTAAGAGAGCTGAAGGAGGCTACGAAATCACAGCCTGATGATGACCTGGCTTTGTTGTCACTGGACATGTAAGTAATAATATTTTTTGTCCAAGTGTGGCTCTTTTTTACTTAGTGGTTTATTTTAGTGTTAGATGGGTCATGTCTTAGCTTGTTGTTAGCACTAGCTACAGCAGGTTGCAGCAGGGTTGTTTATTACAGCTGTAATTCCACTTTCAACAAGTAGGGCAGAGGAGCACATATAAAACGTGTTTCACAAAAGTTTAAAATATACAAAACATATAAAATATTACAAAAATGCAAACAATTCTAATCACAAAAACGTCACTATCATTTATGCATTTGTTTTTGACATGTCAGCCTAAATGAAAATGGATGGAATTTCCCAAAAAAACCCGTCACTTCTGATGCAAATAACCTGTAAAGTGATTATTATGGGGTGTAAAATTGTATATAAAAACATTTGCAACAACGGCTATAAGATCTATGATGCATTCAGGGTTGAATTGGTTTTAGCAAAATGAATCGCTGTTTCTCCAAACTGAGGTTGATCAAAGCATTAACAGGTGAATAAGACAGAACTTTTGAAAGAAACATAAAAAATGACCCCAGAATTAACCAGGATTTAGGAGTCTGTGTGGATCTAACACTAAACTGGCAAACATAAACATTGGGACAATTCTTGACTCTCTAAACTTTATTGTTCTCCAAGTTATTAGAAAATAACTGACGAGGCAGAAATTTGTCAAAATTAAGCATATATATATATATATATATATATATATATATATATATATTTCATATTTATTCACCCATTAAAATCACTTTTCTTAGTTGCGGTGGCGGTTTGAACTCCAAGGTGAGTCGGCTGAGTGAAAGGAGTCGGTATTGCATGACAAGCCAGTTTTATTGTCCTCCATGGATGGAAACAAGTTGTGTGTACAGAGTGGTCATCACATGCAATACAAAAATATGAATTTTAACAATACAACATAAAAAAACATGACTTGGCCCATCCTTTAAAAATGTACAGCTTTTTACAGATTTTTTACATGAAAAAATATAAATATATATATGTACACATCTGTCGCAGCGATAGCAGTACCTGTTCAGAAAAAGCACGGTTTCTCTTTTTCTTTTACAAAGATTAGAAGAGTTGTGTTAATTTGCTGTAGATTAAATAATGTATGTACATCACATACCATTGGGTTTACAGATTTACAGCAGTCTTTTACAAAAACATCGTCATCCGCTCACCCAGCTGCACATGCACCCACAGAAAAATACACACCAGCCAAAGCCTGAGTACATGAGTGTGCACATGAGGAGGCTGGACACTTTTGCACCAGGTTCTTCTTTAAACCAAAGATTTCTTATTTTTTTCCAGATGCATTTTTCTTAAATAGTCAGTAGTTTTCTGTTTCTGCTCAGGTTTCACCTGTTTTTATTTCCACATGCACTTCGGTCAGTGACCCACTTTAACGTGCCTCAAAAACAGTGATTCGCCAGATTGTACTCAAGAAAAGGAAAAAAATTAATCAATTAAAAGACGACAAAAGTGAGCAGAAAACTCCGACCAGCCGCTCCTGGAGAGGAAAACTGTAACATAAGCACTGCAAATATCAGCATGCAAAAGAAAAGTAAATCACAAAGTACATGTTGTGTCCAGGCATGAGCACACGCCGTCACACAGACCTTTGAAAATACAAAAAATAAAAAATAAAAATTAAAAAAGAGTGAGCAGAGGAGAGAGAGAGAGAGAGAGAGAGAGAGAGAGAGAGAGAGAGAGAGAGAGAGAGAATCTCTCCAACATGTGGAGCCCTCCAGGAGAACACGGATAAACAGAGCGGTGATCGGGTCCATTTCATGTCCAGCAGTGTCTTTGTGTCTCAGAAAAAATAAAAATGGCGCCATGTGGCCAGGTCCCCAGGGAGAACCACCATATAATCATCATCATCATCGCAGCAGCAGAGAAGGTGAACAGCCGTCAGCAGGCACAGACCGCAGCACGCCGCCGGGCTCGGCATACAATCCAGTTACTCACAGGAAGGCAGAGAGAAAGGGGGAAAAGCAAGGGAAGAGGACAAGAGCGGCTGTCCCCCCGTCCCCACGGTCACATTTGAGTCCACCGATCTTCTCCAGCCAATAATAAAGTTAGAGATGGAAGATCAGACTGTGGATTAGTGGAAGCAGCGCACGTTTCTTTGATCGGTCCTGCAAGAGTTAAGGATTCAGGAGCATGCAAGGCAGACCCAGGCTTTGTTTTGCATTGCTTATGTTTCAGAGCGGCTGCTACAACCTAGATTAGAGAAGGAAGATAAAAAAAGAGGGGGCAAAGGAGAAGAAAGGTGTTACTGCAGGAGTTACGCTGAAAAGAAGACTGTTCATTAGTCTAGAGACATTCAGCAGGTGAGGAAGCTGGGGTTCATTCTACACAGAGGAGAGATTTAGAGTTTTCTGTTGCAGCTTTTTTCTCTGATTGTTTTAATTTGCTGTGAGAAAACTGCCCTTCAAACAGCAATGGATGAGTAGTGAAGCGACAAGTGCTGGCAAAAGCAAATAAAGAGTGTGAAAAAGCAAATCAAGGATGAAAAGCAGAGAAGAGTAAGTATTTTAAGAGTTTTTGCTGAAAACAAAACAAAAACAGCTGATGAAACTCTCTGGGTTTGATCACAGCTGAAAACCAGATGAGCTGAGGGGATGACGGGGATGGATTTAAGTCCGACGTCGTTTCATCGAGACCTTTTGATGACAAACACGGAGAAGGTGAGATGTGATTTTGTTGCTGCTAAAAGAAAAAGGTGCTCTGAGATTATTCTACAGCATGAATATCAACAGCTACTGGACGTTTTTCCTCTATGTCTTAAATCTTCACACCAGTTTTATCCAATCTGAGTGGAAAACTCTGTAAAAGCTAAATAAAAGCTACGTAAACTTTAATTGTTACGATGCTTCTGAGCAGCTGCACGGCTCTTTAGGATCTCTCCTCATTCACGCAGATCCGAGCTCAAATCGAAAACCTGCACATCGTTTTGCACTGAATGAACTTAACCAGCTGCTTACTGTATAGATATTATTTTACAGTGTTGGCTGAAGACAAGGCTGCATATACCGGTTTCTTAATCCCTATCCTACCACATAAGACATAATCTCTCTAGGAATAATCTATAATCTAATAACAACACGAGGGTCTTTTCACATGTCTGGGTCTTGACCTACTCTGCAGACTTCCAGAAGTGTCCTGGGTGAGACAGCCTGCGGTTGAGCTTGGGCAGCTTCTCCAGCATGTCGGCCAGCTGGGTGAACGTGGGTCTCTCTCTCAGGTCGTACGCCCAGCAGGCAGACAGGATGTCCTGAGATGACATCAACAGGTCGTTGGCGTTTGCCGCTCTAGGGTCAGCCCCAACCAACTTCAACGTGAACTCACCGTGACCTCCTTGCCCAGGTTGGTCTCTGACAAAATCTTCTTGATGCCCTCCCCACTCCCCACCTGCCAGATGGTGGCTTCAATGTGCTGGTTGGTGATTGGCCAGTCCCTCGCTTGAAGCTCATACCAAATTGTTCTTATAAAAGAGGGAAAGCAGTGGAGGGGTGAAGATCGAGCAGGACTCAGCAGCTTGCACCTGAGGCGAGTCTGGAAGGGCAGAACTTACCCAAAGGCGTAAACGTCTGCTGCTGTGGAGAAAGGCAAGCGGTCCTCGTTGTTGCCTGGACTCATCTTACGCACGATCTCTGGTGCAAGGTAACAAATCCAGCCGTGTGGAAGTTTTAGTTTATTCTCACGCCTGAATAGTAAAAAAATAAAAATAAAAGTTTAGTTTGCAGCAGATTTCCAACTCATGTGTGCACATACAACAGGTCTAAAGCAAAGGAAGTGCTATCTAAGACACTTCCACCTTTCCAGAAACTATTGCATGACTGCAGACATCAGCTAATATTATGAATGACTGGACCATCATGTGATCCCAGTGCAGTCAGGATGCTGCTGTGTCTCACCTCCCCTCCTGAACCACCCCAGAGATCCCAAACAGGCCAAAATCAGTGATCACAACTTTATTGGTGTCATGGAAAACGTTCTTGGACTTCAGGTCTTTGTGGACGATGCCTTTGGCGTGAAGGTAGCCCATTCCCTGCATCAGAAGAGAACACGTAGGGATGCAGATACTTGGCTGTGGCTCTGTAGAACTTCATTACATGCAGATTATTATCAGGTTACTGATGTTGACCATCAGGACGAGCCATGTGTTACCCTCTAAAACCAGGAACCAGACAGCACAGAGTTATTTTAGATCAATAGATGCTTTCTATCTTCTCTGTAAATAAAGAGATCAATCCATTTTAATACGTGACTGATCCGGTTCAGGGCTGAAGAAAGCCAAACTCACCACTACGGTCAGTTCAGAATGTCCAGCTGAGCTAGCGTGCATGCTTGCTAACGTGCCATGAACCCAAGTAGACTTAAAACCACTCAAAAGAAGAGAACAAGAAAACAGGAAGTGTTTGTGATCAAAAGTTCAAACCCAGACCACACGTGGACGGGTCTCTAGCGTAAAGCTACCAGGGTGATGGGCCGCATTTGAGCTGAGTGGATTTAGAGCATCAGTGACATGTAGAGATAAATGAGAAAACCAAATACCTTTACAATCTCCTGGGCGATTTGTCGTGTTTTATTGATGTCCAAATTGTGCTTGCTGTCCCGTACCACTGAATACAGCGTCCTCCCTTTACAGAAGCTGCGGGGAAATTATTTTAAAAAGGTTAAATAGACCAAAACTGTTATTTGTGTTTAAATAATGCCCAAGGTGGTGTTCGTCCTGTACCTGGTAATGATGGCTAGGTGCGGGGGGGCCATGCAGGCCCCCATGAACAGGACCACATTCTCATGCCTGGTCTGCCTGTAGTTCATCACTTCCTTTTTAAAAAGCTTCAGATGGTCCTGATTGTTCCCGTCAATCTCCAGCAGTCTGATGGCGACCTCGCCATGCCACCGACCCTTGTGCACTCTGCCCCAGCGACCCTGAAAACAGAAAAAGTGTGAAACGGCGCCTCCTCGCGTGTCAAAGCTGAGATTTGTCCAATTCCTCACTTTTCCAATGAGCTCTCCGAGGTCCAGCTGCTCAAAGGGAATGTCCCACTCCTGCAGGTAGACGCTGGTCTGACTGGGCTTACGGGAGATGGGGCCCTTCCACTGGTTCCTCCTGGAGCAGGGAAGATCGTCCAGCTCGTCGCACTCACCGTCCGAGCCCACATTCATCCTCATCTGCTCCCTCTCCTCTTCATCCTCCCCTTCATCATCGTCCTCTGCCTCGTCTCCTTGATCATCGTCTTCATCTTCGACGTCTTCCTCACCTTCCTGCAACCATGCCGTGAAGGTTTGTAGAGCTTGCACTACCACTGGTACAGCAGAGCCGCTTCTAGACCTAGAACTTATTACCTCCTCATCCTCATCTTCATCTTCAACCAGCTGGGTATGAATGTCATCTGCACACTGCTGCATCTCGCTGCTGGGAAACAGGAAATGAGGTAAAAACCAGGTCAAACGAAACATTTCCTCATTTGATTTAAACTTTGCCGCATCAGAATCTTACACCGTGTCTTCGATGACATCAGAGCACAAACTTGAAGGACTGGAAACGTCTAGAGAAAAGGAAAACACCATTTAGGAAACAATGACACATCCAGAACATAAAAGCCTCCTGCAACTTCTCACTACGTCCAGCAGATGGTGCCAAAAACACAGTAAGGAGACGCGGGACTCATGCGTGAAGATGGGAAAGCTGCAGGGTGCTATGATGGAGCAACAAGAACTCAGCGTGTCACTCTGGAAGGGTCAACTCACCGGGGAAGATAAACTGCTGTCTATGCTGAAAGTAACACGCAGCTTTTGGACAAATAAGAGGAGGAGGACAGATCAGCAAGGCAGACAGAGGTTTGGTTAGTCAAGCTGCTGAATAAAAGGCTGCAGTGAAAGAACAGATTAGGGTCAAAGTGCTTGTGAGGCATCCTCAACACTAAACAGGTCCGCTGTCGTGGACGACAGACTCACCTGGGAAGTTGAAGCGGCTGTCTCTGTGGCCTTTGGGTGAAGGGTTGGGCGGTGGCGTGGCACTGGGGGGGTTGCTCTGCTGGAAGGGTGCTGGGGAGGAGGGTGTGGAGGACGTGGTGGAGGAAGGATTGCTGCTGGAGTCCAGCTGGTTCATTACAGGAGGGTGATCCTGGCGAGAGCAGAGCCGGTTTGTTACTAGCTTAGAAATCTAGACAAAAGCAGGTCTCCCATTGGCTCGGCTTAGTTTAGACCAGGCCAATCACAGCATGCTGCGTTGGTAGAGAGATGGTGGGCTTAGTGTCATTATGGCAGAACTGTGACGGAGCAAAACAACAATGTTGGCGGCGGCTCAAGAACGGCTATGGCCTCAACTTTGGACTTTTGGACTTGGGCTTTTTTTGTTTTTGATACATGAGCCGATAGAGCTACTTCGTCTTTGTCTACGTCTTTGACGGTGTAGGCGGCCTGCCCCGTTGAATGATTTCCAGTTATGTCACATTCACAAACTAATCGAATCTTTCGAACGGCTCTTTGAAGTGAACAATGAGGACCAAGCTCTTGTAGAGGCGAGAGAACGCTTCAGTTTGTTCCAAAGAGCCAGTCTTTGGGACGGCCCTTTGAGGTAAACGGCTCTCGAATGAACGTCTCCCTTCAAAGAGTCATGAGTCCCATCGCTACAGATTTCCATTGCAATGAATACTTCCTGTTGTCTGATGCTTTGATTGGTCCCAGCACTGCGGAGACGGTTCGTATATTACGCTCCACGAGGGAGGTCTGTCTATGGGTCATGGCCAGACTATATATTTACATATATAGGATAGCTGGCCAGGTTAGTTTGTAACTAGAAACACAGTTTATGGTTTTAAACAGCTTCAAAAAGCCAAAAATAAATCAAACAACATCATTTTTCAGCCTCACAAACAAGCTGAAGTTGGACTTTTACCTTTTTTGTGATGGCCTTTGGTAGCGTACCAAACTGCGGTGCTTCTTGTGGTCGGTCCACAGGGTTGTTTATATCAGAGGGAACGGACTCTGTTCTTCTGATTTTGGCAACTACACACAGACATTAGTAAGATCACACCATGTTTGTGCACATCGTCTCCAGAAGTAAATAAATATAAACCTACTTGGTAGAAAGGAGATTCTGCAGGACGGAGCCTCCTTTGTGCATTTATTATGGCACTTTAACCTGCACAGAGAGGGAGGAAACACATGAGGAGCCCGGTAGCACTTAGCCGTTAGCTCCGGTAGCACTCAGAGTCGCATCAAGATTAAGTGGTGTCATCAGGAGCATGTACGATGGGCCAGGATTAGAGGCTTACTGAGGTAACGCTGGGTTCAACTGAGGGTTTTCAGTGTTTTCAAACAGGTCCACTCCTTATGGGGCTGCGTCACCATAGCAACTAATGTTGGACGCCTAACCCGCTACGTTCAGGTAAGATTGTAGGTATTGTTTCTGGTGAAAACACGCAGGTGCAGTTAATTGTTCTAAATCAGAGAGAAATCTGTCAAAATTAAGAGTTTTTAGTTAAAAACCACCGAGCTGAACTGAGCAGCCTCTAGCATTACAGTACGTTAACATCGTTAGAAAATGTCTCATTAAAAGGTTTATAAATCACTGGAATCACAAATAAAACTCTAACAGTAACGTACTACAATTAATTTAGTTAAATCCTGGTGCAAAGAGCTTGTTACCAAATATAGTGAGTCATGTGATGGAAAACTACTCAACTACAACTTTCTAATCAATCAGTCTTTATTTATAAAGTGCTTTTCACACAAGGACTGTAACTGGAAGTGTTTTACAGATTAAAGGTGACCCAATAGAAAACCTCGGCTGATGCAGAGTTAATTTTATTCACCAACAATCACAGACTTCTCCATTAAAACTACACTGAGTCCGTTTTTCTGATCCCAGCCAGTCTAGTTGGTTGCCATCTGTTTCTTTAGATCTTCTTAGTTTTATTATTATTATTATTATTATTATTGGCCGTAGAAATCAAACACCACATTTCGTTGCACAGGCATAGCATGCTTCAGTTTTATACCTGTATCCACCTGAAGTGAATTATGTATTTAGATGTATGTACATTATATTTAGATGCCGTTTTGAAGGCTTTGTGGGATAGATTATGGTCTTTATTCAAGATTTGACCAGTAATGCCAGTAATGCTATAAATCCATCATCAATAGGAGACAATCTTAGTTTTTAAACTCTGGGATTAAAGGCTTGGACACCTCAGGTTTAGAGCTTTCAAAATAAAACTAGAAATATAATGCGGAAGAAGATAAGGGCACGGAAAATAAAAAAAGGAAAGAAATAGAATAGTCAGGATTATAAAAGTCAGAATTATCTTTCTTTTCTTTTCGGTGGCCCTCTTCCATGCTGTTAAAACACGGCTTTTGAATTGAATACTCAACTTACCGACAGTGTTTGCATTTGACGCCGAACATCATGTTCTTCTGGCACACTTGGCACGTCTGAGACAACCAAGACTTGGTAGAAAACCTGCCAGAAAAAGGCACCAGTTACATTTTCATTAGTCCTACTGTAATGACACGATGAGCCGGCTTGTTTCATCGTGATCACAGAAATAAAAAGAGCAGGATCTACCTGTGTGTGACTGCTAGACCGATGTCCCTCCTCACTGGCTGCGGAGAACTGCGGTGCACTGCTACATTGTCTAACAAGACGAGAAGAACGTAAGATTCCTTTATTGAGAACATCTAAACTAAGAGTGTATTTTTGATAAGAAGGGTGGTCAGACTGACTCTTTACTACGCTGTGCTCCTCCATCAGGGTGGGGGTCCCTGGAAGGGTGTAATGTGCTGTGGTGGGAGCAGAGGGGGTACCTCCAGGGGTTCGCGCAGACATGACGGGGTAGCGAGACGGCGAATCCTCACATCCGTTACCGTTGACGTGCGTGTTCTTTTTACCACACCTGGAGAAGTAGAAAGATTCAGGACAACCTGGACCCCATGGACGCCCTAAAGCAACACTAGAGAGGTTTACAGCAGAGCGAAGGTTATGTTAGGGCAGGAGAGGGGCACATCGGAGCACCTGAATAGCTTTTGGCACACAACAGCATCCCTAACACCCACGCCGAGGTCAGAAGAACACCAAGTGGTGCCAGACCTGGGACTTAAACTCACGTGCACTCGCACATGTCAGGAGAAAAAGGTTCAAACATGACCCGTTTCCTGTTGCTTTAAAACGTGCAAGAAAAAAATCACTGATAAGTGAAGTGGTGGCTGCAAATCTGGGTGATTTTTGAATTTCTTTGTTCCCCATTAGAGCTTTTTATAAACAGACAGGATGTGGAGGATAAACACGAGGCTCTTCTGAGTCTGTGTGTGCCCCTAATGACAACAGAGAGAGGTGGGAGTGTTTTGCTATATTAGACCTAGGAAATGCTTCCTGTTTTGACATGACTCATAATCTCTGGGAATTTGTGTGGGATTAGCTCCACTTGTACAATAAGAGCAGAGGAGCTGCAGGATGTAAACACAGAACGTGTCTGAGGAGAAACCGCCCGTTGAGGGGCGGCGTTAGAGAGTTTAGACATCAGGAGTTCTTTAAATAGATTAAAATACAAAAATTTAAGATTAAAATCACAGACTGATAAACTTTACTCATTCAAACAGTAAACACCTGCAGAAAATCATTTTAAAAAATTCATACTTTTTAGCAGCTTTTACTCATATTTGGTTTAGAACTGGTTAGCTCAAAGATTAGTGGACAAAATGTAATAACTGTAAATACATTGAAATATTTGAAAGAATTTAATACTTTTGATTAGAGAAAACAATGTTTCAAGGTTTTTGGAGTTTTTGGCTCAAATTGGGCAAAATGAGTCTAAATAACTTAACATATTTAAATTAATTTAATATATTAGAGAAAATATTTCTACATGTTAATAAAAGCACGTTCTTTTTGCTTCCAAGAGGCTCCGCAAACTAAATTTGTGCCTCTTGTTTTATAATCAGTGGAGGTCTTTGTCATCACTAAAGAGCTGGTGGAGTGTGGAGCAGATGGTACGAGCTGAAACCATCACCACAGATGTCAGCGTGAAGCTCTTTAGATGCTTTTTTCCTCTAAGTGTGGTAAAAGTCACACAAATTTCACACAAAATTCAATCCCACCTCCATGAAACCAGTTGAAAGAATTTTGTTGTATCATTTGTTTATTGTAAGAAGCTTTATTTTAAGTTTACCAGTGACAACGAGCTCCAACCTGTTGCTTTTTATGCAGGAGAACCAGCAGCTGCCTTCATAATAAGAGCAGTGATCTCTACATGAGAGTTTAGTGAAAAGATGGCGCCTACTTGTGATCCTCGATGCGATTCCCCAGCTGGGACTCGTGGCTCTTGCTGCGCGTCAGGGAGATGTTGGGAAGCAGATGCAGCACCTTGCGGGATGGAGGTGGAGGAGTGCACGGCGGCTTCAGCCGGTGCCGCCTCTTTGAGGGTGGAGTTACGGGTGGAGTGGAGGTGTGTCCCTGGAGACGGGCCGTCCGATATAAAGGCGTAGGGAAAGGATCCGTGAGAGGGATTTCGCCGTGAGTGTATGACGCGAACGCGTCTGGTGTGGGCGCCGCCGAAACCGAGCCCAAACGGGGACGAGGAAAGATGGCAGACGGAGTTGACGGGGTGGACTGAATGGTACAAGGGCGGGCTAGAGGTGATGGACTGTGAGGGCGAAGGGTGTTTCCCAAATTGGTTAGCTGATCTGCAGTCAGTAGAGAGCCACTGTCCCTCCTGGTGGGCTCAGACACCCAAGAGACACCGTCTTCTCTCAACTCTCCTCCTGGAAGAGAAAAAACTAGAAGTCAGTCCCACAAAACACTAAAGCACTCAGGCACAGAGGCTGAGATGGAGCTGATACGTACCTGATTCAGTAGCACTCTTCAGACAGGAGAGGGCAGCACTGAGTTTAGCACATTCTTCTGAGGTGGAATCCAGTCTTCTCATGGTATCTCTCACCTGAGCACCTGTCATCTGCTGGAGAGAATCCAGGGACAGCTTCACCTCAACTGCCTGCAGGAAAGAGGTGAAGCAGATGGAAGGCTCTCAGTGCGGACGGCATTAGAACAAATGTAACAGAACTTCCAGACTGAGCTGTTTCAGAGCTCTGTCACTTTAAGAAAACAAGCTGGAGCTGGCCATATATTTAGTTTGGGGATTTAAAAACAAAGGTTTAGGGTGATGGAGTGTATCATGTCTACACAGTTTACACAAAGAGCTATAGAGAAGGCACACACACACACACACACACACACACACACACACACACACACACACACACACACACACACACACACACACACACTAACATTAATGCAGATACATTTACAGAAGTTAAAAATTTGGTCATACTGATGGTAAGACAAACTAAACCCAACAAGATGATGATTACTTTAGACGACTATATAGCTGAAGTTTTGATTAGAGTAACAAAGGAAAACCCCAAAATACCTAAAAGACTTTTACTGGGTCACCGAGCAAAGCGAAGCACAAAAACATCACAGGAGGTCACAGGACCTTGTCCAGTACGTTTCGGATGTCATTTTTCTTTACAAGGGAAGTGCGCAGTCACTTATCAGTCGGGTTAAACCCTTGCTCTGAGAGGCCAAACACTGTTCGCAGAACTAGGGCAACCTCCCACACTCATATGTACACTGTAAGCAAAAACCAAGAGCACACAAGCAGACGCACAACAACAAAGATGAAAGATGTGGCACTGAAACGTAGCGGTGGGTCTGCCCTCCTCTCATCCTGTTAAATACAAGGAAACTCCTCATTTAGTTTCAAGTTTTATAGTTATTCGGTTTTAATCACCCAACATGCATGTTTTTGGTCTGTGGGTGGAAACAGGAGGACTGGGGGGGAACCCTCGCAGCCAGATTCAAACCTGCAACCGTCTTTCTGTGAGGAAATGCACTTTAAATGTCACCGAAATGTTGTTGCAAAATAAGGCTTTGGTTTGGGAAAATACAAACATATTTCAAGGGAACATAAAACAAACACAATGACTGTTGGCTTTCTTATCAAGAACATATTTCTGCTTTGAAAATGATTCGCTAATAAAGCTGAAAGGATCCAAATTTGACTAATTCACAGAAAGCAGAGAGGACGCCAGCCACCGCGGCTGCTCCTGTCTGCCACGGAATCGCTGTCTGGAAGCTGAGGCGTGGGAACGGAGGCTGGATTCCATAAATAAGCTACAAACTACAATCATTGTAGTGTTTTTGGAACACTGGTTGCATAATCCCAACCCTCGCAGAACGGGACCAGAAGACGCGCTCTACAAAATCTCCGCCTGATGACGTGGGAGGATATTTGGGGGTCAGATGACGAGCCGTGGAAGTTGTGCGTCGGGATACCAAACATGTAAACCAGCATCTAGAGCCACCTCCACCATGAAACGGCTCTTTTTAATGGCTGGAGTTAAACAAACATTTGGATAAAAGATTTAAAAGGATCAACGAGTCAGAGGATCACCGGTTCATTTCTCAACTGCTTAATAAGATCTGGACTAAAGCAGGAATTCTGCTCATCCACAGATCTTCTGCTCAGACTTGTTGGTCTGTTAGAACCGAGTTGATTCCGTCATCTCCAGAATAAATTAACATCTTCACATGGAAAATTAGGCAGAAAAACGAGCATCAAACAAACCTGATAGGTCTTAATCCACATGCAAATACCCAAAACTCCAGCCCTGAGAGCTCTCAGAAGCATATGAGCCTTGAACAAACATTTACTTTAGTGACAGTTCTCACACACCTGCAGAAGAAAAGCAGTCTCAAACACGGGGTGAAGCTCCAGCTGGGAACCAGCTTTTGGGGAATCCAGGATAAATCCACCTAAACAACAGCTCCTGCTGTATCCGTCTCCTTTAAACACGAGCTGCTAACCCAAACCAAAGCAAAACTGACTTCTGCTGCTCAGGCATTCCTCGTGCACACGTGAAGAGGGAGTACACAAGGGAAACACGCAGTCGCCCAGATGGGAGCGGGACAGAGTTCACACACACACACACACACACACACACACACACACACACACACACACACACACACACACACACACACACACACAAACACAAAGAGGCCTACCTGGATGAGCTCCGGTCGCAGGTTGATGGTGCGAAGCCAGTCTCGTAAGCGTGGGTAGCTGTTAAGGGCCTCGGGTCTCTCCGTCTCCGGCACTTTCTGCTTGCACTGCAGCTGTTTACAGATGTACTTCATCAGCTTCACCTGCAGGGAGCAACAGAGAACAAGGCACAGGTGGGAGGGGCAGGTTAGAGGGGTCTACAGCAGCGGAAGGAGGCGGTATCCGCCTCACAAACATCAAATGCACTTTGTCAAAGAGGCACAAAATTTGTTATTTTATGCCCGCTAATGATTTTGGTTGATTTCACTTAAAGGGATATTCCACCCCTAAGTGAAATTTAGTCCATTTCCGCTTTCTGTAGAGTTAGATATGTGAGAAAAAAATAATTGGTAACCAGCGCAGTAATTCTCCTGGCGTGGCAGCAGTCCGTCTGCTTTAGCTTAGCATAAACGATGGAAGTGAATAGCAGGAACTAGCATTTTGTGCGCAAAAATATTAAAATTACTCAATAATGAACCCAGTTATTCCTGGTGAACCCAATCATCACGTCGACTGCAAATTAAAAGTAAGAAGTGGCACAAAGGATTCCCAGGAGCCGATTTAGACTTGGGACTACATCACAACAAAGCACTGTAGCACGGTGCACGGATATAACACAGCGGGCTGCTGCCGGACCAGGAGAATTACTGCGCTGGTTACAAAATGTCACTTAGGAGTGGAATATCCCTTTGAAATAGATGAACCAATACAGATGTCTTCCAACAGCTCCACCTCCACTCTGAACCCAGTCTGCCTCCAGTGACCACACCAGGGTTGCTTTCCAAGTGCCTTCAGCAGCTAATTAGATCTAAGCTGCTATCATCGTCCATCTAGAGAGAGAATCTGAGGTGCTCACAAAGAAGCAGCTTCTTCACATCACAGACGGCCGCGGCGCCACACAAGGAGCCAGTTTTGAGTTACTCTACTTCCCTGCCATCAGTAACTCTGAGACGTGCAACACGTCTGCGCCTTTTCTCACACTCGTGCCAATCTGTAGTTTAGTTGATTAAAAAAAAAAAGAAGATCTAGGGCGATAAGAAGCATTGCTTTAATTTGATTGTTTTATCTCTGAACAGCGTTGCAACGTTCCAGTGGAGACGACGGGGATGTGAGGAACCGAACAAACCCCCGTTTAGCAGAGGAGTCTGTTAAAACCTACCCTCACATCTGCTGATTGGCACGTCAGACTTCTGGTAGAAGTTTAAGATCACATCAGAGGTTTTAGACAACTTTGGCACGTTTAAAAAGTTCACGCTAAGGATCACATTGAAGTTTCAAAAAACGACAACAAAGAGCCGAGACTTTAATGCTTTCATGTCAAGTGCAGTGGTCCGTCCTGAGTATTACAATGAACACTTTGGTGTTGGTTTGCAGCGGGCCGCATCGTGCAGCTCATCATTACTGTATAGTGTGTCCTTATCTCGCCTTCTATCTGAGAGAGTCCATTACAGCAGGCAGCACCTTCCGATGAGCTGTGTGCACGACCAGCGAGCTCAAAAACCCCCACTGCACACCTTCCGAGCGCTGCAACGAGAGTGGCGAGCGCGTGTCTTTTTCTGTACATTCAACCGTCTCAATGACGCCTCCACTCATCAGGCGGAGAGAGGCACTCACAGCAGCGCCGCTCTCGCAAAACGTGGCCTTGGGTTGTAAAAGTGGCTGCTTTGCAGCGGCAAATAAAAGCATCTTGTGCATGAAAAGGCTGCAGAAAATGAGGATGAAGAGGAGGCAAGTTCTCCACATGTTGACCCTGGACCTGTTATTCAGCTCAGCAGCCATTCATCAGCTACCAGACTCACAGAGGACGTTTGAAAGCGACAACAGCAAATGTTAACTAATGAATCACTATCAACCAGCAGAGCTAGGGCAATGCCACGAGAGCTGGTTCACGTTTATGTTTATTTTTTTGGCAGACGCTTTTATCCAAAGCGACGTACAATCTTTAACCTATAGGGTGTGTTGTGATCTGTGGGGGAAACCCACACATGCATGGGGTGAACAAGCAACTCCATGCAGAAGGGCTGCAGCCGAGTTTCGAACCTGCAACCTTCTTGCTGCAAGGCAACAGTGCTAACAAGTGTGCCGCCATGCAGCGCGTTCATGTTTCATAAAGATTAAGCTAACTTGGTACATTTCTGAGAGCAGACGCAGCGATGAGGCCCAAAACGCAAACATTAACTCGTCTTGTAGCGTGAACTAAGATTAACACAAGTGTTAACCATGTGGCTCATTAACTTCACCATGATGGGGTTGGTGAATTTCACCAGATACATTCCTGAACTGCATGTTGCAGAAAGCCCCAAAGGTCACGAACCCTTCACTCTTGGCTATCACTTCCTGTAAAGCTGCAGTGCTTGAAGGGAGATCAGGACAGGGTTGTAAACACGATAGTTAAAAAGGACGTTCCGACTCGTACGCATCTGCACCCTTAATAAGCACAAGCATTGTTTTTTTTTTTAGTGTTGATAAAGTCCAACAAAGCTGTGATCAAAGGTTTGCCATAGCACTAAAAGACAAACATGTCTAAATATAAAATACAACGTGTTCTTATCAAATACGGAGTTACTAAAGCAGCTCATATTACATCAGCTCTGGCCTGATCAGACAGCAGTGAGACATTTACTCATTGTGGCTAATGAGCCAGCCTCCTCCTTTACCTCCCTATACACAATAGTGCAGCACTGTGACATCAGGTTACCTAGCAACCCCTCTTCTGAGTCGTCAGCAACATTTCAGTGGGATTTTCCCATACATGTGAAACACCGAGCTCAGAAACAAAACATCGACACAGAAATGTCACCCAGCATCTCTACAGGAACACGACAGCAGTCTGATTAGCTCCTCCCTAGCAGGGCCCTCACTTATTAGGACCCTAAATAAGGGAGATGAAAAGGATTACACAAGTCCCATAATGCGTGTCGGTGTTGAACACACAGGCAGGCTCGCCAGCTAACGGAGATAATCACAGGCCCCTTTGCACTTTATTTTTGGTGCAGAGAGGAGAAAAGCAGCGTTTGACGTGTGGCCTGGGGGTGGGAGGTGAGGGGAGGAGAAATGGCGTCAGAGCCCACCTGTCAGCGGTGCTAAACAACGCCATGGCAACGGCCCTAATGCTGCATGGAGATGAGTGACAGCCACCAGAGAGGGGGAGAGCAGTCCCAGCAGCGGCCAGCCTGACACAGCAGACTCAGGGAGCCTTACTTGTTTTCTCAAGCCTCTTGCTGACACAGGCGTTTGCCACACCTGCCAAGGATAGCAAGACCTATCTGAGAACTGAGCAGCAATCCCAGAAAATGATATGTGCACAGGAAGGTCAGCTCCGTTTCTCCAGACTAAAAGGACACACAAAGATCTACATCTGAACAGACTGATCCCCACGAGTCCAGATCTCATAAGGATATCATGTTTCCTCATTAGTCCACAAGAGCAAAAACATCATAAAATATTTTAGTCCAGACACACGAATGATCAGTTCTAGCCAACACGATGTTGGCAGTCAGGTGACCAGTAGAGGTGAGCCTAGAAGGCACACCATGGCGACTTATCAGGGTAATACTGGCGGCATGGCGAGGCGAGAATATGGGGACATTCGTGCCACTTAGCCTAATAATATTAATGCAACTCCAGACTTTTGAATTAAGATCTTAGCGCAACAATAACCCTTTGATGCAAGAATTATGAAATCTTCAACCATGATTTTGTAACATTTTTTTTCATTCATCTTTAGGTGTGAACGAAACAAATTCCAACAAATATTTTTTGTAAATTTTTATAATTTACATATAATTTATTACATGTCCACCTCAGTAGACAGCGTGCAATCTGAACATAAAATATGTTGGCTTGACTTACTGAAGTCTAAATAGAGGGGCTCAAACGCAATAAAGTCTTCAACAGACCAGCAAAAATAAATAAATACTCATTTTGAATACCTGTCCACTGTAGTGACCATTATGCATCAAAGGTATAATGCAAGTACACATGCACAGTCCTTTATGCATTTGTAAACGGCATCAACTGAAACGGCCAACTGGAGCGACGCAGAGATCCAGGAGCTTCTGGTCTGTAGAGCTGAAGAACAGATCAACGGGAAGGACAGCCACCCTTTGCAGCAGCTCGTTTAAGGAATGTGGCTTCAATCGTGATAAAAAACATGAGTCACATGTCAAGATGTTGATGACAGCGCATCAACAGTGAGGACACCACCTCCGCACCCCCTTTATACTGCCATCACATGATATCCAGTTTGCAGCAAAGTGGCACCATTGTTTTCTGAACACGGTTTATAGGAGATAGATGGATGGTAGATCAGAACCCCTCCTTCATTACAGTTTACTGATGGAGATGCTGGCATACTAGGGTTGCTCTGTTCGAGTCATGACACTCTACGCCTAACCAGAGTTACGGGCATCTATGGAAAGCCAGTTCATCGAATACAGGATCTTCAATGTCTATATTCAGCACATCCATTGTAGATTAAAGGTTCTGTTACTGTAAATTTATGATTGACCAACATAGGTTTTCTATTGCCGATATCAATAGGTAGAGGTCATGATGATCATATCAACTTGGGCCTCACAATACATCGTAAATATATCGTTATCGCGATATCAGCATGCACACAATGCCTATCGCAAAGAACAGATAAATATCGCAATGAGTGTCAGCTCAAATGTTTGCTACACATAAAGCATTCAGTCAAATGGAAGCATGACTTTTTTTAACAAATCAAATAGAGCTCTTCACCCATGTGGCCAATTGGGTGGGTTCTATTAGGTTAGATGCCCGCCCCCGAGGCAAACAGCACTCAATTTTGATGGTTAGCAAACACCTGAGTTAGCTTTGCTCTGCTCTTTCTGTGGATTCTGCTTTTCCCGGGATCCACTGATTGCCTTTTCTTGCCAATTTTATTTTTCCCTTTCCTCACATCTTTTGCTTTTGGTAAACACTGGCCCGATATATCGGCTAACCAACATATAACTACTCTATCCCTACTTTCGCTATAGTTTAGGACGACAACCATAATAATTAGATTTAAGTCAACTCCAGTAATTAGTCTGTACCGCCTGAGCTTCAGTCAGAACATGTGTGTTTACAGAGCACAATTTCAAAAGTCAAAGAAGCCTAAAAGTACTTTCATCTAGCTTAAGGACACTTTTAGCCCAGAACCTGGGCTGATCACCTCCATCTGCTGTTGTTAGGTTTTATCAAACCTACACACCTAATTTAGGTGATTGAAATTAGTTTCAGACTAAATTTAAAAATACATATTTATTAAGACCTTCTCACGTGTTTATTTTGTGGTAAAAATGACTACCAGAGTTCACTGGTGAGGAAAAAATAGATTAAATCATTGAGATATTTTAACTGGTAGATTAATCAGATTAATTAATACACAACTTGCGTCAGTTGCAGCTGATTTTCTAGTTTAAACCATCTTCCTTCTGACTGGGAGCTCCGGCGAGCAAATCTCTTCTCAAAGAAAGAAGACCTGAAAATTACAGGATGTGATGCAACTGCAGGAATAGATCAAGGCGAGCATTTCTTCTCATTTCCACATCAAGCAGTGTACTCTTGTTGGCTACACCTGCCATTTCTGTAAGGGAAAGACCCCCCCCCCCCACCCCAAAAAAAAAGGGAGCAAAGCAAAGAGGAAACAGTCAGGGTCAGTGCTGATAGTCACCAGTTGTGTTTCCTCTACACCTTGACGCAAGCGACATTCTGCCGTCTACTTCTAGGGACACACCAACACACACTCACCGATTGGCTTTGTCTCTCCCCCTCCCCTTTCCTGCCCGCTCCCCCCTCTCACTCAGGCTCTTTGCGCGTCATTTGAGTTTCTTATTTAACAACCAACCCTGAAAATGCGTAGGAAGAAAGACGTCTAAATATAGATGCAGCCACAACAGCTCGCACCACGAGCGCTCCAAACTCTCCCCAACATCATGAGGAGACTAAACACAGCAACGCTTTGCTGTTTGTTGCTCTCTAGAAAGCCTCTCACCAAAAATAGCACCTCATGTTTAGAAATTACGTAAAACATAGCCTCCACATATTCAAAAATGTATTTAAATGGACATTTCTCTGTTGCTGGGTTATGCTAAAGAAGGAATTTAGGAACACACAAGTATACAACGCAGTGCAAGAGATTTAAAATAAAAAGTCAGGATTATAAAGAGCTGCTGTTGAGGTAAAACAGAGGCAGCATGAGAGGCAGATAGAGACCAAGCTGAGTGGGATTAACATGTGAAAAGTGAAGTGCCAGTTAGCTCTCCGTTTGAGGCCGGCATCATTATCCTCTCACTGACGAGACAGAAAAAACACATGGTTCAAGTGGAATAATAAAGCTGGCTCGATGAGAGAATGAAGCCAGTTCAAGCCGCTGTTGATTGCACTCCAGCGCAATACGGGAACGATAACCCCGAGCACCACAAGTGAGACAACTTCTGACCTCAGACAGATTGAGCAAATTCAGCGCCTGAATTAGCAGCTTTAGTAGTAATTACATCTGCTGCATCTGCTACAGAGGGAGATCATACCCTAGACTGGCAGACCTGCAGCAGATTGAGAACTTTATAAGAATCATCCCAAATCTTAGACCAACAAGGTCCTAATGCACACGGGGCATGTGGCCAGAGCATTCTCACGGAGGGATAAACCATGAAGTGAAAGTGCACTCTTATGGTAAGTTGCAAACCAGTGTGCCAGTAACGACATAGGAAGTAAAGCCGCTGATCTTTACTGCACTAGAAACTAATGATGTACCGACATGAAATCTTTGGGCCGATACCGATATCCGATATCAAGATCGCGGTTATGGCCGATAACCAATATTTGCTGATACCGATATATTGACATTAATGCATCTAAATTCAGCAGATTTTGTACAGAATGAAAATGATTAAATCTGAAATTACATTATTATGGACACACAACACACACATTTACAGTTCTGACATGATTACCATCACTGTTCGCATGACTAAACAATTACACATCAACCCCTCACCCTCTAAAACAGGCAAACAAATGGAGACCAGATGGAAAAAATATCAGTTGTTACTATCAGCTCGGTTTTATTTGTCGAACCAATACGTTAAAAAATGACTAACATCGGCCGATACCGATATTGATGCCGATATATTGTCCATCCCTACTAGAAACCCCGACAGTTTCACCAGAAACAAAAACCGTCTTCATTAGGGTCAAAGCGTTGGAAGTGAGGAAAGGGAGTTAAAACATCTGCATCTTCTGTTCTTCAGACTCAAACTAGTAGGATAGTTTGGAAGCAACATGATCTATTTGAAACCAATAAACTAGTTCTTTACGATGGGATTAAACGGTTCAGTCATCAGCATGCCCACAACACTCTCCGTGCTTTTAAACAGTTTAAAATGATGCCAACTAAGGCTGCATAATACATCGCAAACGTATCATCACAATATCAGCATGCCCAGTACGCATATTGCAAAGGACAGAAAAGCTGCAGAGCATGGGCAGCTCAAATGTTTGATACAAATTTAGCATTTTGTCAAAGGAAGCATGACGTTTTTGACAAATCAAATAACAGCGCTTCACCCATTTGGCCAATCGGGTGGGTTCTTAAAGGTTAGATGCCCTCCCCAAGGTGGACGGCACTTAAATTGGATGTCTAGCAAACACCTGTTTGCTTCTTTCTGCTCTTTCTGCCATGCCCGATTTATCCAGGGCCTGCTGATTGCCTTCTCTTGTTCATATTTTTCCCCATTTTCATTTTATTTCTTTGTTTTTGATATTTTTGTTCTAGAAATAGGTGTTTATTTATTGCAAGTCATATCACCATCGCAATTTTAATCACCATTATCGCGCATCGCAGGTTTTCCTAATATCGGGCAGACCTAATGCAAATCTAGAATTGGGATCAGGCTGAATGTATACAACGCTTCTGTGGCAGGTTGTGTGTGTGTGTGTGTGTGTGTGTGTGTGTGTGTGTGTGTGTGTGTGTGCCTCATGTGGGGCAAAGTAATTATGCCAACTGTCTTATTGCAACATACTCACAATTTGCCTGCAACTTTTCCTCAATTTTATTCACATTTTGATCAGCAGCCTCTCAGCAGACTCGCATTTTATGATTTCCATAACATCAACTTTCTGAATTTTGTGAAAATTTTTATTTTTTATTGGACTCTTTTTCCTTTTCAACATGTCCAATGGTGAAGTGATAGGTGGTTGAGGCCCTGGCACGTCTGTGAGGACCTTCAGAACCCTCACAAATCGCCATTTTGGAAACTCTCTTGCAAATGCGGTTATCAAACTGACACCAGATGTCATCACCCAGTAAGATGCAGGCTTTAGCTTCTTGTTTGATCTAATTTAGACTGGATGTGGGCATCTGGGGTCATGTGAGCCCATCTGACGTTATGCATGGTACTTAAAATAAAACAGCCTGTCATTTACTGCAGTCCAAACAGTCATCTGCCATTACACAAACTGTTGGTTTAACTTCTAATATTGTGCAAGTTGGGGAAAAAAAACTTTGTCTTCTATCATGAAGCAAAAGACAAAAAAGCTTTTAAAGAGGTAGTATCATGTTGCGCTTTATTTTAAAGGACCCCCTCTTTCATTCCTTATCAAATAATTTGCCCAGATATTTATGATCTATTTTAAATATTGTAAAAATTCAAATAAATTTGGTTTGATGACACCTCACTTCCAGTTAGGTTGTCTGGTACAACAGCAGGCAACAACGTGGAGGAGTGAAATCATTGTTTAACAGTTAAAAAAGCAACACGCAAGAATACTGGAAATGTGGTTTCTGATGTATTTATACTCTGTGATTGAAACCACATTAAGAAGCAGATAACATCCAACTAAGCAGAAGGGGGGGGGGGGGGGGGGGGGGAGCAACCGGCAGCAATACTCAGCAGTGTTTTGAAGACAAAGTTAGCCAAATGATGCACAACTTCAGGGAGGAATTTAGTCATTTTCCATTAGAATTATGACTAAGCATGCAGATGTTCATTGTTTTCATCATCTGCCTGAAGTTGCCTTTAGCTTTAGCTTAGAAACAGTCATATCTGCATGAGCAGGCTTTATAAAATACGGACAGGTCTAAAGCCACTGCTGTCCAGAGACGGTTTGTGTCTGCACCTTTACAACTGACTTAGTAAAGAAGTAAAAAAAAAAGGACTCAATAAATAACAATGACTTGAAGTTAGCTGCGTCGTAAATCAGTAAGCATCTACAGTACCCATTTCCGGCACAGCGAAGAAAAGTCAGACAGCATTTGAAACTGTGATATTACCTGCAGGAGAAAGTTGATCTCAAGACAGAATCCCCTCGTTGTTCTGACCCAAAGGCACAACAACGCAGGACCACAACCAAACAGAAACTAACTCGACGTAACCGCATCCAATGCTTAGACGCCAACTACAAGAGGTTGTCCTTTACAACTGCCTTATAGGAAAGAGGTAAAAAAAAAGCTCCACAGAACAGTTTTTGTGGTGTCCAAGAAGCATGTGAGAGCGGCACTGCGTGTCCATTGTCATGCAGAACAATGCCGGTGCAAAACGCATCTACGAGACGACATACCTCAGGAAGTACTCTGCCAGATCACGTCCTGTTGCAATGACAGGGCGCACATGACGATGGGTAAGGAAGAAAAGAATGTCGACAAGAACAAGCCGAGACTTCATGATTCCATTAACCAGTTCAGGCTTGCTTTGGATAACTTACATCTTTGCTCCAGGAGACAAACGTGCAACCTGAATTTCAGCTTCGCTTCTGTTATCACCGAGTAGAAAGATCAAAAGGGGATTTAGGGCGGACCACAAAAAACTACAGAACAAGCAAACCGTGTTTGTCTGGTTTCCTTTTCCAATAATGCCCTCACGCTTTTCCATTTAACTCAGAACTTCAGTACTGCTGTCAGTTTGCAACCACACAGCAGCAAGTTTCCGACCTGCACCAGCAGCCTTCCAACCAGCACAGGAGACAAAAATATATTTGACACGTACGCTCTCAAACTAGAGGAAAAGTTGCCCAGGCGGGCACAAAACATTTGTCATTTCCTGTATTTTCTTGCATGAATCTGCCTCTGTGCTTAGATAAACAAGACTACTGATCCAGTTTAACTTGACAAATGCATTAACTGAGCTTTGGAAAGCTAATTTATTCATCAGCCATGACTCTTTGGGATATTGAAAGTCTTTTGAAACCAGTTTATTGTGTCTCGGCGCGACTGAAACTAAATGCCCGCCGCTTTCTGGAACGTTGGTTTTTAAGGGCAACTGTACAATGGTTCATAGGGGTGTTCAGTTATACAGAAATAAAACAGACATGGATTATTGATAGCCTCCAGCCAATCAGGACTGGGGATTCCTTTTTGCCAAGGTATAAGGCTCAAATAAATAAAGCATGAACTAGAAAACCAATTTACCATCTTGTCTCTGGATCTTCTGCATTAGGACGGATTGGCGAGAATGTGGAAATAAGTAATATATCACAACTCTAACCCTATGATATGTTACGATGCTAAAAGCTAATTTTTTTTAAAGCCAGACAGTGTTCGGTTTTTAAGACTGAATGTAACTGGAGAAGTCAGCCCAGAAGCTTCTTAGATACATCCAGGGATGTTGCAAAATCTCATTTCATTGGGATGAAGTAGGGCTGGGTATTAAATCGAAAATGTATCGTTATCAAAATTAAGGCTGCCATGATTAGTCGACGCGTCATGACGACGATTAATTTAATAGTCGACGCGTTGTTTATTGTATGAGCATTTTTTAAATCTCACCTGCTGCGGCACGTTCGGCATTTGCTTCCTGCCTCTCTGCTCAACGCACATGTGCGCTAGCCGCCACCCGTGTCAGCCGCTGCTTACGTGAGTCGAGGCACATGCGCAGTAGTGCCACTGCAGCTCAGCATTCAAATCAGAATCACTTACTCGCATCATGGCGAGTCGGCAACGGAGCTCAATGGTTTGTGAGCATTTTATGAAAACAACTGAGAAGTAGAGTGCAAACTCTGTAAGGTAAAACTCTTGTTTCACAGGAGCACATCGACGATGCACGAGCATCTTAAAAGGAAGCACGTGACGGCGGAGAACAAAGAGTCGCCTCTAAGTTTACCTCTTGTTAGCTGCTAGCATCATAGGTGTAGCAACAATAGTAGTGATGGCGATTATATGTTTAGAACACGTATCTATGTCACGTATTTGCTTTAATGTTACAAACGCTAACCGCTACGTTACAGTGCTAAGTGCTCTTCTTCTACAACGGACAAGTTTCTTACAAGGCCAAACACGTGCACACTGCAACAAGCCAACGTCCTGACCAAGGCCATTTTGAACATGCTGGTAATAGACACGAGACCTCATTCATGGTCGGAGATCAAGGTTTTAAAGATATGATCAAGAAGTTCAACCCAGAATACTATACAAAATAATTAACCAGGCCGAGTACATTTCATCACAATGACAGAAAGGAAATATGAGACGACCATCGAAAAGGTGTGTATCTGTGGGCGTGTGACAGAATGCATGACACACGATTAGTCGACTAATCAGCAACAAAACTGGCAATTACTCGACTAATAAAATAGTCGTTTGTGGCAGCCCTAATCAAAATGTCTAACTCTTATCAAGAAAATGTTTCCCATGTCAATAAAATTGATAGTAAAACAATGAAAAGATGTGTGTAGGTTGGCAACGTCGCTGCACCACCTTGAGTCACGTAATGCATGTGACACCCGGACAACTTTTGTTTCTGCGCATACATGTAGTTATCGTCCATTTATCGTAATCAAGGTGAAATCCTCAATGTATCGTGATATTTACTTTAGGCCATATTGCCCCGCCCTAGGATGAAGGCAGGAAAAACTGCTGCCACCTAGCAGTCAGAGTTAGAATTGCACCAAATAAAGAAATACAGTACATGTTTGCGTGTAAATTCTAATAAAAAATATCGATATGCTGCTTTCAGTGATTGATATATATATAAAAATAACAGGAAAGCACCGATATGAAATTTTGGGCTGATTATATATATATATATATATATATATATATATATCAGCATACATCATACATATATATATATATATATATATATATATATATATGACACGCTGACATTTATGCTTCTGAAATCAGCAGATTTTGCATAAACTGAAAATTGTGCAAGCTGAATTTTTGAATGCCTTGCCTTATTTCTCTCACCCTCAGACACACAGACGGAATGAAGATGGAAAAAGAATCATTCGTTGATATCGGCCCAGTTTCACATATCAGACTGATACAGATATTTTTTTAAATGACCAACATCGGCCAATACCAATATTGATGCAGATATATCGCGCATCCCTATGAAACGTCACAGTATCACAATGCATCAACATTTTCTTAGATCTCTTATATAAAACAGTTTTAACATGGGTCATTTATACACTTCATCAATCTGTTTTAGAGGCATTTCGGTGCAAAAATCTCCTAAGTGGAATCATGTAGAATTGATATTAACTAGCCAATATACTATAAATATCTGTAAAAGTCATTATAATTAAAATCATTAACATTCAACGAAAATAAAAGTGTTTTCAATTTGATTCTATGAAGGCAAAAAGAATCTGAGGTTGACCAGGTCTAAAACATTTTTAAAGTGGAACCAATGTGCAGAGTCACCAGGCGTGACGTGGTTGGAGAATATCCTGGAAATGGATGGTTTCTGGGGGTGAAAACGTGGATTCTTCCTGTGAAATGACAGTGACTGTGCATCCGCATGCATGAGAACATCGACCATGCCTGCAAATCACATGGAGCGTGTGTGGTTTTTATATTCTAGGGCCTGGATTTACAAATCCAGCCCGACGCTGCTGAATACAGTAACAGATCAGATTATTGAATGTGTGCCATTAGGCCAGGCACAGGGGGGAGAGGGGGATGCTGCTCCAGACAAATAACGCAGAAGGTCACGCAAATATCATGATTTAACAAATGTCTCCGTATTTGATCAGAACCCCTGACATAAAGCTAATTGGATCATTTTGGGTCGTGAATGCATCGCAGAGCGTCAGCGGCGCACCGGGCTCTGCACCGGGAGCCTCGCTTGCAGCAGCCCCGTAATTCTGCTCAAATTCAGGCGGACATGGGGCTCCGTGACTCCGCATTTTAACCAACCAGACAGCCCCGGAGCGCTCGTTACCTCTAAAGTGCGTATTTCTTGCTGTGTGAGGTCGTTGGATGCGGCGCATTTGGTCCGTAGCCCCTGTAAACTGGAGATGGAGATATCAATCATATTCTGGATGAGTTCGCATTGCTGGAGCGCGGCCATCGCTCCGCCGCCGCCGTCCCTCCGCTCCGGCTGCTCATCACTCTCGACCATCTTCCCACCTTTAGCAGACACGCTATCCATTCCTCAGCATTTGGGCTCGGCTGGAAGGGCTGGAGTCAAACTGCTGAGCTCAAATAAAACATAAGTCCATCGACGCAGCGACCTATTAATTGCGGAAGAAGTTAGCTGACAGTCCCAGGCGCGCGACCTTTTAAAACAAAACCAAAAACTACTGGCGAGGGTAAACTGAAAGAGTTTCTAGAAATACTGTGTTAGCAGGCAGCTAAAAGGGCTCCGGAGTCCGTTAAGAGTCGGGTTGTGTATTTCCCGTCCACCGACAGCTCAGGCAGAGGCTTCGCCGTCTGTCAGCTGTTGGGAACGTCATGTTGCGCGGTGCATTCTGGGAAATAAAGTCCCACTGGCCACAAAAAGGGGGCTCTTCGCACTACACCTCCCGTCCTCCACCCACCCATCAACTCAACAACCGAACTGTGCAGGTTATTTTTCTATAGAGGCAAAAACATTAGTGATGATGGCTGCGTTCCATTTTTATGACCTGCTAGGGGCCGGTTGAGGCATTATTGGAGCTGCTGCAGAAAAAAGGAAGGTGGAAAAATTCAAATTTAGGTCAAAATGGAGAAAACTTTTAAATATTAAAAAGAAAAGTTGGATGTTTCATAGCCCGAGGAATAAACACAAAGTGTTCTACAGAATGTTTTTGTTTGTGTTTTTATTATTTTTAAACTGGGGGTGATTTATTTATGTATTTATTTATTTTGTTTGCAAAAGTCTGTTTTGGTTCAGTAGAGCCTGTCCCAAGCCATTGTGACTCATTAGGCCAGTAAAATCAAAGGTGTGTTGGCATTTACCTGATGACGTCTGGTGTTAAAAATATACATGCAGACTCACTTTCGGCAATGTTTTAACAGCACAAAGCTTTTTATGTTTTGTTCAGTGCGTTTCCTGGAAAAGGTGAGTATTTATTATGCACAAATAAAGAAAAGTGCAACTAAATAACATAATTTAGTAGTAGAAAGAAGAAGCAATTTTAAAACCACAAGGCGCTTCACAAAAACAAAAAATACAAAAAATATTTGAAAATATTTTAATAAAAAAGGGGAAGGTGAACATTTTAGATTAAAAATGTAAAGAAAGAAAAGAATGAATGCAAAACAGGTAATCACGGGATCTCGAGCAAAACAGAACAGCAGCATGAAGAAAAAGCTAGTGAGGAAGAATGAGCAGGAGGTCCCACCAAAGCCAGCCTGAACAGATGAGTTTTCAGCTGCTTTTTAAAGGAGACCGCTGAGTCCACTGATCTCATGCTCAGGGGGTTCTAGGTCTGGGCGTCACAACAGCAAAAGATCTGTCAGAATACCGTAAATGAATCCGAGTTGAGGAGTAATCCAGTTTCTCCTGCACTGGTTTTAGCAAAAAGTGGCCCGAGGGAGGAGGCTAGCAATGCCACAGTGAATAATCACTACCTTTCACCTCCTCGTGTGAGGCACAGTGCACTGTCATTACCCTGAGCGGAGCACCACTGATGTAACAGAAGCTCTGCTGGGAAATAAATTATACATCTATACGATCAATCGATTGCTAGTTTACACCAACGTGGCCATAACTCAGAGCATGTGGTGATAGCTGAGGATCCTTCGAACGAATCATGTGAGATCCTGCAACTTATTTTATAGATATGACCAAAACAGCAAAGTCTCCATCATCAGCTGCAGCAATGTTACTCTTGCATTCTTTTGTTATCCTTGAAAATGTGGACACATTCCATCAATCCACACCTCTGGCCTGTGAGAGCCTAAGGTGACCTCTGCTGCAGAAACCTGAACAATCTCCACCATCAGTTCTTATTTTCTGAGAATACGACCGATGATTCACAGGTCGATCTACATTCCAACCCTCATCTATGGTCACGAGCTTAGTTAGTTTTCACCAGGGTGTCTGGGTTCTCCTTAGAAATAGGGTGAGAAGCTCGGTCATCTGGGAGGGGCTTGGAGTAGCTCCTCCACATTGAGAGGAGACAGTCGATGTGGCTCGGCATCTAGTTAGAAGGATGCATCCTGGACACCTCCCTGAGGTTTTCAGGGCAACTTCAAACCAGAAAGAGCCCTAGGACATGCCAGAGGGACTATGGAGGGATGCCTTGGAATTCCCTCAAAGTCAGCTTAGGCTGCTGCCCCTGAAACCCAACCCCAGATTAGAAGAAAACAACAGATGCATGATTTGAGGGAAAATGTTAGGATTTCGAATTTTTATGCATCTCAAATCCTTCAACTTCCACACCAAGAAAAAAACAAACAACAAAACTAGTTATTTTTTGCATGTTTTCTCAGTTTGGAGCATACATGTTGTAAAAACAGTGAAAAATATTAATGTTAATTTTAAAGCAATAACAAAGTATTAAAGCATCTTCCTGTTTTTTTTATTATTTACTTAAGAAGTTTACATTTTTTTCACATAAGTTCAGTGTCAGTGCACGCTTCAGTAAGATAAAGGGACTTAAACTAAGTCACAAATAGTCTTCCCACTCGTTTTCTAACAGCAACACATCAGAAGACAATGTTCCATCGAGGTAATTATTACTTTTATTTCATGATCTGATCTGGTTTTCCTCCATAAGCGTGAGACTGAGGTGGATTGTTGGTCCTCATAATCAAAAATCTGCATCTCTCCACCACCAGGCAACACGGCAAGAGCTGCAATGAGGGTGTGATGTTCTCTCATTTAATATATACTAATTATACAATAGAACATGAGTCACTTCATTATGGGGACCCAGGTTCCTCCTCTCCATCTGTCTCCTGTTCTGAAGCAGAGAGCCACTGTCTCACACTGCCTGTCTGCGTTGAAGGCTGTCACCGTGGCATCCAGGAATCCGACGGTGCAGAAGTGAAACAGGAACCTTTTGGTGCACCACTGAAACAAATTTGGATAACCCGAAACTAATGTGGCAAACAGAGAGCCTTCCAGACATGCTGCAGGATTGCATTCCAGAAAACTCTGCTGCAAAGGGAGAATAAAACAGAGCAGAAGAGCCACCCGGTCGGGACAGACCTGCTGCTTTAGCAGCACAGACTGGATGGTGACACGCCGGCAGAACGGGAAGCAAGCTTCCAATTTTCTTCACAAACAACTTGGAAGTGAAGCAGGGATGAAAGGACGGAAAAGCTTCAAATCAAAAACCAGACACAAAGATTAGAGTGTGATTTGTGTGTGTTTGCAACGGGTTGCTTAAAATGGAAACAACCATAATTTTTTCCTACTAATACCAAATGTTGCACATCATCTGTTGTAGTTACACAACAAAAACTCTTATAGACACCTAAAGTACACGAACCAGACAGTCCCATAAACTTTAACCTTAAATCTAAAGCCACAGCATCTTTTCCTCTCACTAGTGGGGCCACCTTCTCCCAAGGTTCTCCATTTTTCTGCATCCATGTCCATTTTTTCATTGTTTTCCAAAACCTCTGACTTTTGCTTAGCAATAAACAAGTGTGAGCAATCCATAAACTTCCTGTTTTATGTCTTAAATAATAAAGTTGAAAGCAGTGGTCAGACGGGTGACAGCTCACTGGCACCACTCACAGATCTGAGGACAGCGTCATCCTTTCCCAGCATGACAGCCTCTTAAGCC